GGGTCTAACGTATGAGGAGAGATTGACTAGGGTGTGATTGTTTTTACTGCAGTTCAGACAAATGAAGAGGGAATCTCAGAGACTTATAAAATTCTAACAGGACTGGACAGGGTAGATGCAGGGAAGATGTTCCCAATAGTGAGTGTGTCCAGAACAAAAGGTCACAGTATGAGGATTTGGGGTAGACGATTTTGGCCAGAGATGAGGAGACATTTCTTCATCCAAAGAGTGGTGAGCCTGTGGAATTCATTACCACAGGAAATAGTTGGTGCCAAAACATTGAATGTATTCAAGAGGCGATTTTATATAGCACTTGGGGCAAATGGGATGAAAGGTTATGGAGAGAAAACAGGATTAGGCTTTGAGTTGGATGATTAGCCATGATCATGAAGAATGGCGGAGCAGGCTTGAAGGGCCAAATGGCCTCCTCATGCTCCTATCTTCTATGTTTCTGTGTTCCTATGTGAAGAGAAAAAGACTGGTGAAGACAAATGTACATCTCTTGTAGTTAGAACAAGGTGAATTCATAATGGACATCAAAGAGATGGCAGTCCAGTTGAACAAATATTTTGGATCTGTCTTCACTAAAGAGGGCACAAATAACCTTCAGGAAATGCTAGGGGACAGAGGGTCAAGCATGAAGGAGGAACTGATGGAAATCATTATTAGTCAGGAAATGATATTGGGGAAATTGATGGGATTAAAACCAGATAACTCCTCAGGGCTGGATGCTCTACATCCCAGAGTACTTAAAGAAGTGGCTCTAGAAATAGCGGATGCTACTGGTGATCATTTTCCAGCATTCTGTAGTTCCAATGGACTTGAGGATAGCTAATGTAGTCTACTCTTCAAAAAAAGGAGGGAGAGAAAATGGGGAATGAAAGGTCGGTTAACCTGACATTGGTGGTGAGAAAAATGCTGGAGTCAATTGTTAAGGATGTAATAACTGAGCATTTGGAAAGTGGTGACAGAATCAGTCCTCGTCATCATGGATTTACTAAAGGAAAATCATGCTTGACAAATTTTCTGGAATTTTTTGAGCATGTGACTAGTAGAGTGAATGAGGGTAAATCAGTGGATGCTGTGTATCTGGACTTTCAAAAGGCTTTTGACAAGGTTAGTAAGGAAAAGTAAAGCTCATGGTATCGGAGGTAATGTAATGACATGGATAGAGAACTGGTTGGCAGACAGGAAGCAAAGAGTTGGAATAAAGAGGTCCTTTACCAAGTTGCAGGAAATGACGAGTGGGGTGCTGTAGGTTTCAGCGCTGGGACCCCAGTTGTTCAGAAAATACACTAACAACTTAGTCGAAGGAATTGAATGCCGTATCTCCAAATTTGCAGATGACACTAAGCTGGGTGGTAGCATGTGCTGTGAGGTGGATGCTAAGAGGCTGCAGGGGAACTTGGGCTAATTGGCTCAGCAGGCAAGTACTTGGCAAATGCAATAAAATGTGGATAAATGTGAGGTTATTCACTTTGGTCACAAAAATAGGAAGACAGATTATTATCTGAAAAGTGGCAGTTTAGGAAAAAGGTGAGGTGCAATGAAACCTAGGTGTCATTTTGAAATGGTCATATAAGTTTGGCATGCATGTGCAGCAGGTAGTGACGAAAACTAATGGCATGCTGGCCTTTTTTTTTCTTTATTCATTGACAGGATGAGGATATTGCTGGCTAGGCAGCATTTATTGTCCATCCATAATTGCCCAGGGGGCAGTTCAGAGTTAACTCATTGCTGTGGGTCTGGAGTCACATGTAGGCCAGACCAGGTAAGTATGGCAGTTTCCTTCCCTAAAGGACATTAATGAACCAGGTGGGTTTTTCTGACAATCGACAATGGATTCATGGTCATCATTAGATTCTTAATTCCAGATATTTTATTGAATTCAAATTCCACCATCTCCTGTGTTGGGTCTCTAAATTAACAATCCAGCGATAATACCACCAGGCCATCGCCTCCCCTAACAAGAGGATTTCAGTATCGGAGTAAGGGTGTCTTGCTGCAGCTATACAGGGCCTTGGTGTTGCCACACCTTGAGTAGTGTGCGCAATTTTGGTTTCCTAGTCTGAGGAAAGACAATCTTGCTATTGAGGGAGTCCAGCGAAGGTTCACCAGACTGATTCCCTGGGTGACATATGACAAAAGACTCGATCAACTGGGCTTGTACTCACTAGAATTTAGAAGAATGAGGGGGGATTTCTTAGAAACATATAAAATCCTGATGGGACTAGACAGGCTAGACGCAGGAAGAATGTTCCATATGTTGGGCAAGTCCAGAATTAGGTGTCACAGTCAAAGAATAAGATGTAAGCCATTCAGGACTGAGATGAAGAAGAATTTCTTCACTCAGACAGTTGTGAACCTGCGGAATTCTCTCCCACAGGGTGCTGTTGGGACCAATTCATTAGATATATTCAAGAGGGTGCTGGACGTGGCCCTTGTGGCTAAAGGCATCTAAGTATATCGAGAGAAGGCAGGAATGGGATACTGAAATTGCATGATCAGCCACAACCATATTGAATGGTGGTTCAGGCTCGACTGGCTGAATGGCCTATTTCTGCACCTATTTTCTATGTTTCTACCATGTTAACAAATTCTTAGCTTTAAATTTAATCCTTTACACAGGATATCTTCTATGTTTTCTTCCACCGAAAGTACTTCGCATCGGTCAACTATGGCTCCGTTGTTGGTCAGCATTCTCTGGGGAGATGGTAGCATAGTAGTTATGCCACTTAAATAATAATCTAGAGCCCCAAGCTAATGCTATGTTCAACTCCTATCACAGCAATTAATAGAATTTAAATTCAATTAATAACACCTGCAATATAGTCTCAGTAAAGGTACCATACCCATTATCCCACTACCTATTTTGTAAAAACCCACAATATTTTTTTGGGAAGGAAATCTGCCATCCTTATCTAGTCTGATCCATAGCAATATGGTTGATTCTTGGAAACATAGAAAATAGGTGCAGGACTAAATCATTCATCTAGCTCCCTCTTGAATATATCTTACTAACTAGCCCCAATAGTGCCCTCTCAAATGGCCCTAGCAAGCCACTCAATCCAAGGGCCATTAAGGATGGGAAACAAGGATGGTCCAACCAGCAATACACACATTGCATACAAGATTAAAAAACAATTCTAGCCTAATTTCTCCAAGATTCTATATTCAAATCCTAATCCAGGACAGAAATGAAAGCTAAAACTCTAGTGGAGCACAGATATATTACTGCACTGTCAGAGGTACTGTCTTTCAGATTAATGCGCAGATATCTTATTTCTTCCTCCACTACGTTGATGACTGTATCGGTGCTGCCTTGTGCTCCCATGAGGAGCTTGAGCAGTTCATCAACTTTATTACCACCTTTCACCCCAACCTCACATTCACCTGGACCATCTCTGATACCTCCCTCTCCTTCCTAAACCTCTCCGTCTCCATCTCTGGTAACTGCCTTGAAACTGATATCTATTTCAAGCCCACCAACTCCCACAGCTACTTGGACTAACCTCCTCTCACCCACCCTCCTGCAAGAATGCGATCCCCTACTCTCAATTCTTCTGCCTCCGCCACATCTACTCACAAATTTGAGCGTTCCATTCCCGGACATCCCAGACGTCCTCCTATTTCAAGGACTGCAACTACCCCCTCTGGTGATCAAAAATGCCCTCAACCACATCTCTTGCGTTTCCTGCACTTCTGCCCTCAAACCCCCTCCCCCAACAAAAATAAAGACAGAATCCCCCTTGTCCTCACATATCACCCACCAACATCCGCATCTAGCGTATCATTCTCCGTCACTTCCGCCACCTACAATCTGACCCCACAACCAAAAAGATATTTCCCTCCCCACCCCCTATCTGCCTTTCATAGGGGCTGCTCACTCAGCGACTCTCTTGTCTGCTCCACACTCCCCACTAACTCCCCCACACCCAGCACCTTTCCCTGCAACCACAGAAAGTGCTACACCTGCCCCTACACCTCCCACCTCACCTCCATTCAAGGCCCAAAGCAAACCTTTCGTATCAGACAAGGGTTCACCTACACATCTGCCAACTTCGTCTACTGTATCCGCTGCCCCCAATATGGTCTCCTCTACATCGGTGAGACCAAGTGTAGACTTGGAGACCATTTCGTAGAGCATCTGCATTCTGTATGCGACAAACGACACCACCTTCCGGTCAACAACAATTTAAACTACTCCTTGGGTGACATGTCCAGCCTGGTCTGCTCCAGTGCCACAATGACACCACACGCAAACTGGGGAAGCAGCACCTCACATTCCACCTTGGGAGTCTACAGCCCAATGGCCTAAACATAGAATTTATCAATTTTAAAATCTCCCCAGCCCCAGACTCATCCCATGACCAATCCTCCCTCTTTGACCTGACACAACCTGTCCATCTTCTCACCCACCTATCCACCCTACCATCCCACTGACCAATCCCCACCATCTTACATTCACCTATCACCATCCCACCTACTTTTCCCAGCCCCACCTCTTCTCTCTCTATTTATTTCTCAGCTCCCTTCCTCCTCCCCATTTCTGAAGAAGGGTCCCGACCCAAAACATTAACTTCCCTGCTCCTCTGACGCTACCTGGCCAGCTGTGTTCCTCCAGCTCCACACTATTGTTTGTGAGACAAGATTTTTTTTTCAGGAGATCATGCAACTTTGAAACTTTCTTTCAAAAAGGCGGAGTCACTGAATGTGTTTAAGGTAGAGGTGGATGGGTGAATATAATATGTGCTGATTTTTTCTATCCAAGATATCTGCTGGCAGTTATTAAAGCCCAGAGTCAGCCCAGTGAAGAACAGCCAACTCACTACACCCAGGCTGGAGTTGCTCCATTCGAAGTGATGCAAGCACCAAGCTAAAGCCTAATGAGAATTTCTGCCCTACTGTGTTTAAAGAAATTTTAAAATGAGTCTAAAACCTTAACATATAGTAGGACACTAACTAATCATTGCTGACCATTTTCCTCCATTTCCAGTTACCATTAGTTTCTTCTTGGAGGGTAGTTTCAGAGGGAACTGTTGCATCACATCCCCTTCGGACTCTTTCACATCTTCATTCAAGTTAGTCACTGCCATTCCTTCCACTAGGCCATTGTTACTCTTGAGATTCAGGAGGGTCGAGGGACCTGAAGCAAGTCTCCCTCTGTCTGGTGGATTCTCTTCACTTGTGTCATTCGTGAAGGTAACACTGCAGTGATCTATGAAACAAGATAGGGTACAGAAATGTAATAAATGTTGACTTGGAGAAGCAGCCTCCATACCATGCAATGAGTTTCTCTTTTGTGCTTTACCTTTTCCTCCATCAATGATCTTAATCAATGTCTTTGCCTTCGCACCAAGAACTACATTGATTGGCGATGCTAGTAACACTTCAAATATTTCCTCATTTTCTTCCAATTTGTCATCAATAATGACTATATTCCAACTCTTCACTGATACGCCTGCACAAAAAAGAAAATTCAAAGCAAAATGATGACAGAATAGTACAAATATATTGTACCAAAATTAGCTCTAAAACAGGGGGCTAAAAAAGCCTGTAAATATTCAAACGTCTTAACATTTTTCCATAAGATTTTAATTATGTTTGATGGTTTTAAATAAGAGGGTCAATTTTTCAAATGTACATTGAATGGATGGAATCTCACCTCCTGAAAGTGCATAACAGAATTTTTTAAAAAGTTCATAGAATGTGGGCATGACTGTCTGGCCCAGGATTTATTGCAAATCCTTAACTGCCCTGGAGAAGGTGATGTGAGCTGTTTTCTTGAACTGCAGTTATCATTTGTGTTATTGGTACATCCCACTGCTACAAAGGAAGGAACTGCAGGATTTTGACCTAGCAACAGTGAAGGAACGGTAGTGTAGTTCAGGTCAGGATGATGTGTGGCTTGGAGGGGAACTTTCAGGTTTATATACATCAGCTGCCTGAGAAAGGTAGTAATGGTCATGGGTTTGGAAGATGTTATCGAAGAACGTTGGTGAATTAATGCAGTAGACGATACACACTGCTGGCTCTGTTTCTGGCTAGTGGAGGGATACAATGTTAAAGTTTATGGTTGAGGTGCAAATTAGGAGGGCTGTTTTGTCCTGGACAGTATCAAGCTTCTTGAGCATTTTGGAGCTGCACTCTTCCAGGCAAGTGAGGGTGCATCCATCACAATCTTGACTTGTACTTTGTGGATGGTAGACAGGCTTTGGGGAGTCAGGAGGCAAGTTATTTACTTCAGGATTCCTAGTCTGACCTGGCTGTAGCCATAGTACTTATATGGCTAATCCAGTTCAGTTTCTGGTCAATGGTAACTCCCAGAGTCTTGTTAATGGGGCTTAGGCAATGGTGATGCTATTGAATGTTAAATCTGACCATAAAACATGGATCCCTGTTGGGGAGACATTTCACTGTACAAGAAATGACAGATATTTGACAGTGATTTCCAGATACACTCTTCTGGTTACCAAGGTTCAACATGAGCAGCACAGACTAAGAAAATTGCCTTATCTTGCAGAAGCAAAGCTGAGCTATTCATGTCCATCAATTATGTACCAACAAAATTTCCTTGCTGGAATGACCAGGCTAAATTAGTTGCAAAAATAACTCCACTATCCTTTAATGTTACAGCATATTCTCATCACATATTTCTTCCTCCAAACTAAACATGCCACCTGTTTATTTTAATTGCTCCTTAGTACAGAACTAGAGTATTGTTGGGGAAAAAAAGACTTCTAACACCCATGTTTTTAGTATCAGTTGAATGTTTGTGGAGGGGGAATTTTGTATGTGGGTTATAATTTTATCTGGTAGAGTTATATGTTGACGGTTCATAATTACTTATCTGTAGTCTGAATCTATTTATATATAATAGCCATTCTTATTAAGAACGGAAATGTCCTCGCTTCTAAAATATTGAACTCATGTGATGCTTCTGGCTTGGCAGGTAATTGTGAGTCATCATCTAACTGGTGTATTCTCCATGGCAGGATCTTTATCAACAAGAGTCCACTTGCCAATCAATCAGCACTCTCCTATCAAAGAATAAATCTTGTTTTTCCTTTACCTTGAAATTCATGCAAAATGTCCTGATGAGTAATACATGGCTGTTTGTCTGTCTTAGTTGAGATCAATTCCCCATACAACACCAGGTGTTGTATTTCCCACTGGTGCATTCCTCCTTTTTAATCTTTGTTAGTCACTAGTCTGTGCTAATCACAAGGGTCATGCTGAGCTCATTTAATGCACACATGCTCCTGGCTATATCATTCTGTACAGCTGCATATCACCAGGTGACTTCCATGATTCCAAACAACCTGGCAATAACACCAAATGAAATTACAACTTGAAATCTACTGACTATATCATCCGATGTGTCATCCAACATAATCATTTCAATACCTTTATCTTTAACAATTAGAATCTACCTGGATCAAACTGGATAAGGTTGGCAGAACTGTGAGTAAAATCTTTTCCAACCGAAGCTGAAATGCTGTTGACCTGCAAAGCAATGAAGATAATAAACACCATAAAAATTTAATAGAGCTGTAAGAAACAATGATTACATATGATGGAGATCAGCATTTGGGCTAGTGGAAATCAGAGAGTAGTTAGATAAAGGAATTCAATTGGAAGGTTAATGGAGGTGAATTCATGTAGGTTCAAGGAGATTTGAAAGAGATTTATGTTTAAAACAGTACTGTTATATTACATTGTCACTAATGCTGCTTTCTCTTTACCGCTAAATAAGGAGCTTCAACTCCTTATAAATGACAACAGGCCTTGATTTAGATCCATACATATTAGGTTCTCAAATGCAGTGTTTAAGACTTCTCTTTTCGCTTACGCAGTCTAAACTGGTGTCTGACATCAGAAAGAGGGAAGTCTTGTGACCAGAGATAGTGGGAACAGCCGATGCTGGAGAATCTGAGATAACAAGGTGTAGAGCTGGATGAACAAAGCAGGCCAAGCAGCATCAGAGGAGCAGGAGAGCTGACGTTTTGGATCTGGACCCTTCTTCAGAAATTCACACAATTTTGTCAGAAAGGGAGCACTGTTGCATAAGGGTGTAAGGATCTGAGGAGTGTCATAAGCACCACCCACCTTGAATGAACTGGTGGGAGAATACTTTAGGGTCTTGAAAGAGTAATACTGAAAGATGCAAGATTCTGAGGTGGCTTGACAAGGTAGATGTTGAGAAGATGTTTCTACTAGTGGAGAAGCCTAGAACATGGTTATAGAATAAGAAGACACTCGTTTAAAATTGAAAAGGAATTTTTTTTCTCCCAGAGAGCAGTAGATATTTGGAATTTGTTGAAGCATGTGAGTTGTTTCTTGTGGATGGTACAGTCTGCGGCCAATGCGCTAGCAGAGACTGTTATTGCTTGTATGAGTGGATGTGATGCAATTCAAGTACTGCTTCGTTCTGGATAATGTCAAGTTTCTTGAACATTTTTGGAGCTGCTATCATCCAGGTAAGTAGGGAATATTCCATCACACTGCTGACTTGTGTCTTGTAGATGGTGGATAATGGTAACCCCCTAGGATAATAATAGTGGGAGATTCAGTGGTGGCAATGCCTTTGAATATCAAAGGGCGATGGTTAGATAGTGATTTTCAGACGCTTCCTAGGCACAAATGTTACTTGATATTTCTCAGCCCAAAGCTTGGATATTATCAACCTCTAGTAGCATGCAGGTATGGTATGTTTCACGACCTGATTTGTTACAAATGTGGCTGAATGCTGTGTAATTATTTACAACCACCCACCACTAATCGCAGGACACAGCAAAGATTATTTGATGAAGCAGCTGAAAATGACTCGGCTCCTAGGACACTACCCTGAAGAACTCTTGCAGAGATGTCCTGGAGCTAAGTTGACTGACCTCCAACAATGACGATCATTTTCCTTTGTGCCAGCTGTGATTCTAACCAGCAGAATTTCTCCCTGATCCCCACTGACTCCAATTTTGCTGCGGCTCCTGAATGACACACTTAGTAAAATGTTCCCTCAATGTCAAGGGTAGACACTCATCCCTAACTTCTGGAATTCAACTGTTTTTCATGTTTGGACCAACACTGTGATGAAGGCAGGAGCTCGTGGCACTGGCAAAACTCAAACTAAGTATCAACGTGCAGGTTTTTCACAGAATCATAGAATCCCAACAGTGCAGAGAGAGGCCATTCAGTCCATTGAGTTTGCAACAAACCCTAGAACAGCATCCCACCAACTTCACCCCATCCCCATAATCCCACATTTGCTGTGGCTAACTCACATGAGCTGCACAATTTTCGACTGTGGGAGGAAACCGGAGCACCCAGCAGAAACATATGGTGCAGGGAGAACATCAAAGTCCACACAGTCACTCAATCTGGAATCAAACCTGGGTCCACAGTGCTGTGAGGCAGCCATGCTAACCACTGTGCCACTCTGCTGCCCTCAAAATCTGTTAAGCAATTGTTGTTTGATATCACTGTTGATGACAACTTCTGACAGTTTGATGATGATCGAGAATGAGATTCTTCCAGCAGGTTTTGTTTCTGTATATACTCTCCCACCTGTTCTTGTCTCATCTGCAAATTTGGGTACGTTACACTCTGCCCCTTCCTCCAAGTTATTAAGACAGATCGTAAAGAATTGAGGCGCTAGGACTGATCTTTGTGGCATTCTACTAGTTACATCTTTCCAACTTGAAGATCCATTAATCCTGATACTCCATATTTTGTGTGTCAGTTAATCTTCATTGCATGCTAATACATTACCAGCAAAACTGTGAGCTCCAATCTTGTGCAACAACCTTTTATGTGACATCTTATTGATTGGCCTCTGAAAATTCAAATGCTTACATAGTGGGCAGCAGGTTCAGTTGCATGGAAAATTGTGTAAAAATTTAAACTGGGAGAAGGGCTCAGCGAAGGGTTATTAAAGTTTCCAGAACAAGTAATAGAATAGAGAAGAGTAACCTAGAACATAGAACAGTACAGCACAGTACAGGCCCTTCGGCCCACGATGTTGAGCCGACCTATTATCCTACTAAGATCAATCTAACCTGTATACCCTACATTTTACTATCCTCCATATGTCAATCCAAGAGTCACCTGTAAGTCTCTAAAGTATCTGACTCCACTAACACTGCCAGCAGTGCATTCCAAGTGCCCACCACTCTCTGTGTGAAGAACCTACCTCTGACATCTCCCCTATACCTCCCTCCAATCACCTTAAAATTATGTTCCCTCGTAATAGTCATTTCCGCCCTGGGAAAAAGTCTCTGACTATCCACTTTATCTATGCCTCTCATCATCTCATACACCTCTATCAAGTCACCTCTCATCCTTCTTCGCTCCAATGAAAAAAGCCCTAGCTCCCTCAACCTTTCCTCATAAGACCTGCCCTCCAGTCCAGGCAGCATCCTGGTAAATCTCCTCTGCACCCTCTCTAAAGCTTCCACATCTTTCCTGTAATGAGGTGACCAGAACTGAACACAATATTCCAAGTGTGGTTTAACCAGACCTTTATAGAGCTACAGCATAACCTCATGGCTCTTAAACTCAATTCCCCTGCCAATGAAAGCCAACACGCCATACACCTTCTTTACAACCCTATCAACTTGGGTAGCAACTTTGAGGGATATATGGACGTGGACCCCAAGATCCCTCTGTCCCTCCACACTGCTGAGAATCCTGCCATAAACCCTGTATTCTGCATTCAAATTTGACCTTCCAAAATGAATCACTTCACACTTTACTGGGTTAAATTCCATCTGCCACATCTTTGCCCAGCTCTGCATCCTGTCAATAGACTTAAAACATTACCCTGCTCTCTTTCCATGGATGCTGCCTGACCCACAGAAGTGAGGAAGGGTCACTGGACCCGAAACATTAACTCTTTTTATCCTTCACAGATGCTGCCAGACCTGCTGTGCTTTTCCAGCAACTTTGTTTTTGTTCCTGATTTATAGCATCCACAGTTCTTTCGGTTTTTCTCAGGAGATAGAACTAGCAGTAGCCAGGCCTGTGGCATCACAACTGGTTCTACTGTAGAGCAGGGTGTGGCAAAGTCTAGGCGAGTGATCGTAGTAGGTGACTCGATAGTCAGGGGCACAGATAGGTGTTTCTGTGGCCGTGAATGACACTCTAGGATGGTGTGTTGCCTCCCTGGTGCCAGGGTCCTGAGCAGGTACAGGGCATCCTGAAGCGGGATGGAAAACAGACAGAAGTCATTGTCCACATTGCCACAAATGACATTGGTAGGAAGAGGGAAGAGGTCCTACAAGGACAATTCAGGGAGTTAAGTAGGGAGCTAGAATGCAGGACTACCAGGCGAGTAATCCCAGGATTACTACCTGTGCCATGGGCTAGTGAGTCTAGGAACAGCGAGAGAGTGCAGTTGAACATGTAGCTACAGAACTGGTGTAGGAGGGAGGGCTTTAGACATATGGATCATTGGGATGTCTTCTGGGGGAAGGTGGGACTTGTACAGGAAGGATGGGTTGCACCTGAACTGGAGGGGCACCCATATCCTGGGTGGGTGGTTTGCTAGAGCTCTTTGGGAGGGTTTAAATGAGTGTAGCTGGAGGGTGGGAACCAGAATGCTAGGCCAGTAATTGCAGGGACTCGGGACAAAAGTGTGGCAGAGATATGCATAGCGCAGAGTAAGAGCAGGCACAGGGAAGTCACAGGGTTCATAGGGACTGGAGACTGGAATGCATTTGCTTCAATGCAAGAAGTACGCAGGTAAGTCAGATGAACTAAAAGCATGTATTACCACATGGAATTATGATGTTATTGCCATTGCGGAGATATGGTTAAAGGAGGGACAGGACTGGCAGCTTAACATTCCTGGATAATGCTGTTTAGAAGGGACAGAAAGGGAAACAGAAGGGGTGGGGGAGCTGCTTTGCTGCTTAGTGATCACATCACAGCTGTGTTGAGGGAAGATACCTTAGAGGGATCTTGCATTGAGGCATTATGGGTACAGTTCAAGAATAGGAAGGGTGAAATCACAATGTTGGGAGTTTTCTATGGACCTCTATGTAGTCATATACTGGAAAGGTGTGAAAAGAGAAGGGAGGTCGTGGTGGGTGACTTCAACTTTCCTCTTATTGACTGGTAATCCTTTAGAGCCAGGGGCTCGGATGGAGAGCAATTTGTTAGTTGTCTCCAGGAGGGCATTTTGAGCCAGTATGTTGACAATCCATCCAGAGAGGAGGCCATATTAGACTTGGTCCTAGGGACAGGTGATTGATGTTTTTGTAGGAGAGTTTTTCGGGTTTAGTGACCATAACTCCACAAGTTTTTGATTAGTCATGGAAAAGGTCACAAGTGGGCCTCGGATGAGGAGGCTTACTAGACTAAGAGTCAAATTACACCCAAATTAGACAGGAACTGGAGAATGTGGGTTGGAAGCAGCTGGTTGAGGGCAAATCTACTTCTGGCATGTGGGAGGCTTTTAAAGACCAATTGAAAAAAGTGCAGGACATGCATCTCCCTGCAATTCTAAA